AAACCATGATTTGAAGTAATTACTGTATTTATTCAGTAATTTTAATATAGAGGTTTGGAATTTTAACAACCATAGTGGTGAGATTCTCTGATACTTTCTTTCATTCCTTTTTCCTTTCCATTTACATAGTTATTTTTAAACAATACTCAGGAAATCTACAACATTTTGTGGATACTGCTCATCCTTATTCAGATAGCATAAACCAAATAGAATGTCACCTCTCTTACTTAAAAGATATTTTTCTTTTGTTTTATTTGCAACCTGTGCTCTTATACTAATAGAAAATCATTTATGTTTCAGTTTATTCGTTTGAACATTAAAATAATTAAGTGTGGGGTCTGGACAGAAAAAATAAATGTATAGTATAATAAATTTAAATCAAAGCTATTACATAAGATGGCTGTCTTATTATTGTAAGTTGCATTTTGTATACACAGATACAAAATGGTCCTTCGTTTGTATCCCCGTTTTTGTTTAGTTTTGTTAGAGAAGGGTATTCATTTGCCATTTAAATATCGTAGGTGTGTAAATTCAGCAAAATGATCCAATATAGTCCAGTAGTCCATAATAAGAGTGGGTTATCCATAGGACTGGCAAAATAACTCAAGAGAAATTAAATAAAATTTAGTTCCTTCAAGAAGACAAAGAATCACACACACAAGTATACACACAAACATATCCAGACAATAATTCTCAGCAATTATATTGGCAGTAGCTTTACTGGTGTTGTTACTCCAAGGTGCCTAATGAATACAAGAAAATTAGTGTTGAACATCGTAGTGTTCTGTTTTTAACAAATCCCTGAGAAGCAAGAGTCTCAGCATAAAAGAAAAGACATGTAAATAAAAGAGATTAAAGTTCGTTGACCTGTGAAAGCATTACTATAAATTTATATTATATTTTATCTTTTGGGTTTATGAATGTGATGTCTTTAACAGATGGAGAAAGAGAAATAAATCCAGATATCAATGTAAAAATTGATTGTCATAAATTGATTATTATTTAATCTGGATTAAATTATCCTTCTGTAATTTTGAATGTTTGGAATTGGAATGTTCCATAATGAAACAGTTTCAAAGTGAAAAATAAGTAAATCGTTAATATTCAGTATGATGCAATGAATAAAACTAAAGACAATAAAAAAATATTTTGTAAGTTTCATCTGTCAGGGCTTTAAAATCTTTTCAATGTCATAAAAATAATATTAACCCTCTGTTACCAGGTTTCTCTGGCCACTGGGAAGTATAAGTTGATAGAGCTGACTTTGCAGGCCTCAGTTAGCTGGGGGTAGTGGTGCAGGGCCACCTGTGTCCCAGCCTATAATCCTAGCACTTGGGAGGCTGAGGCAGGAGGATTGCCCCAAGTGTGAGGCCAGCCTGAGTTACACAGTGAGCTCACGGCCAGTTGGAACTACACAGTGAGACGCTGTCTTAAAAAGAAAAAAAAGCTCATTTTGTATTTCTTCATCTCTCAGTACTTCATCCCTGTTTAAAACGGACTGAGGACTGAGGGTATAGAGTGTAGCTGTAGAAAACCTGTCTAGAATGTGCAAGACCCTGAGTTTGATGTCCTGCCCCACAAAAAAAAAGAGAGTTGAGCTCCAGAGGCATCGTCACTCAGATTACTAAGAGACAGTCTGGCTCAGTAACTCTGGAGGAAACTGGATGTTTAAACAGGAAGAGGTAAACATCACTCGTCTTTGTGGGCACAAAACGATTGAAAAGAGAAGTTTTAAAGAACAAACTAGACAAATATTCCCATTGCTTACCATGGACCAGCTTCTTCCATATTCTGTAGAGGTCTTAACTCATTTAATTTATTCCTCACACTGTAAATTAGACTTACTTACTTTAAAACTCACAGGCTGTGCAGCGTGCCCTTGTTTTCTGGTACAATAGATGGAGTCCTGCTTTAGGCAGGAGAGAACTACTCTGCTGTCAGGTTACCATGTAATGAGCTGGTGTATTCCAGGCTCTTGTGTACAAGGAGCCAAGAACTGTCAAGGACACACGCAGAAGCGAGTGGCACACAGCTCCATTTAGTGAGAATCACAGGGCGCTGTGCCTACCCTAAATCCATGCCAACAAAGGAGAGCAGAGATAGAAGAATGGTGCAGGATGGCAGAAAAGCAAAAGCACTGTACTCAGGGCCTGGTACACAGAAGCTGCAACAGCAGCCACCTGCCCTACGTCAGGCTTTTGGAAGGACATACACCTCAGCCCAGGAGCCTCCCTAAATCTCTAGGTGTGATGGGCAGGAATGATTGACAGGGAGCGGGGCTCTCAACATGTCTGTCCCAGAATTCACTCTGATCTTAATTACATGCATATATAGTACATATTTATGAACCCTTAAAGAGGTTTGAGTCACGTGAAGGTGACATTGGACAGCTCCTGGGTTTTTGTTATTGTATTTTCTTCCTCTCTTAGGACAATGGAAGGAGGAAAGACCAAAATGTGGGGAAGAGAGTGACTTTTTCTGCTCTGTTGTTTCTAACTGTATTACAAACAAGGACTGTGTATTCTGCAACCCCCTGCCCTTTTGGGGCGGCCTTGGGATCCCTGGCACTTTTGTAGAAGTTTAGGGCCTGGCAGTCACACCTCCATCACAGCCCAGGCTGCTGGCCAGGGAGCGAACAGTCCCTGCGCTCCTGTGAGTGATGTGGCTCTCCAGTTGCTCCTGCTTTGCCTTCGTCAGTCTATTTCATGTATCTGGCATGGGTGAGTAACCACACACACCCTCACTCTCATGGGTGTCCCCAGGAAGCCCCGCTCGCTACTGAGGCATTACTTCTAGGACTGCGAGTTGTGTCATCATGCTGGCCGACAAATCAAAAGAGACAAAGTTAGGAAAGACACACAGCAAGCATCTACACAGCTGGGCACAACTGACATAGAGGTAAGATTTCTTAAAGTAGGACTAGTTCTCAATGTCTAGGCTATCAATACTTTCCTCTTATAGTCAAGTTTCCTTTTTAAAAAAGCCAAGCCTGCCTGGGAAGACTGGTCCCCTGGCAGGCCAACAAATGTGTAGAGCTCCTAGACAAGTGGCAGGCTGTAATAACTTGGTAACAATCAGTTTAAGTGGTGCAAAGAGATGAAAAGTCAAAGGGGTTACATTGCGCAACACCATAATTTCTACATCCTTTCCACGTATGCATTTCTTTCGCTTGCTTAAACCTCTACCTCTGAGTTGCTCCACTTTGTCTTTCAAATTCCCCTTAAACGTCTAAAAATGTTACAGAATGGTATCATTACCTTTCACATTAAATGTCAAATTAGCCTGAGAAGTTAAGTTTGAAAGTCCTCCAGCGTGAATTTGATTGGTGATTCTGTAACAGGACATAAGAGACCCTCTCCCTGGCTGGACCCTGTGCTTGGCATCTTAGTTATCCGCTTCAATCCCACAGCTTTGCAAGCGGGATTACATCTATCATTCAAGAAGTGAGCAGAGAGCTCACAGAGGGTAGTGGCTTGCCATGGGCCTCACAATTAATAAACAAAAAGCCTGGGTTTATAAACTCACGGGTTTCAGGCTCCACATTTTATACAGCACTATCTCAGGAATCATTTAAAGCATGGGTGTCCTGCTAAGGAGGAATCAAATTTGCTGGTACAGTAATTCCTTTGGAAACACGGAGCTTGTAAGGATAGTAGGGCATCTAGCCTCTTCCTGCAAGATTAGTTGAAAAAAAGAAACAGGGGATATTCATATTGGAAAAAGGTGTTTTGACCAATGACCCAGAGAAACGTGGCTAGCTGAGAACTTTAACAAAGGGCAGCCCTGGGCCTCCGAGCATTACACGCCGCAGAAGGGCTCCCCTGTTGAGGCTGGTGGGCGGCAGCGCTCAAGGGCCTATCAGTGCACCCGGGCTGCCCGTGGAGCACTCAGCGCTCCCCTTGAGAAGGTCAGGCGAGCGCTGCGCAAGGGCAGACCCAGGCCGGGACCGCATCCTTGGTGTGCGCCCCTGCACAAGGGCAGGGCGGTGGGGGTCGTGTTTAGCCCCGGCGGAGGCGCACCTAAGTCTTCGGAGAGGCAATGCACCATGCAGGTCCCTCCTCGGGTCGCCCTTTCCCCTCCAGGTACGCCGCCCTTCCTCACTAATCCGCAAAGCAAGACGCACCCCAACCCTCGCGCCGCGCAGGGCCCCTAGGGCGCCGGCGGCGCTGACGCAGAGGGCGGCGGGCCGGGGTCGCAGGTGGGGAGGGGCCGG